ACTTACAGGGACTCCACTGTATTTAGAAGTACACTATACTATCTAATATAGTAACCACATGTAACTATTTAAAGTAAAATTAAACTTGCATAAAAAGAATTTAGTTTCTCAGTCACCCCAGCCATATTTCAGGTGGTCAGTAGTCAGAGATGGCTTGTGCCATATTAGACCACACTGACAACTAGAATGTAGTTGTCAAGCAGTGGTGATTTTGCCCCACAGGGGTCATTTGGCAATGTCTGGAGACATTTTTATACGTTTTTATGGTTTTATATGGTTTTGTAGCTAGGAATACAGTGTGTTCTAGTAGGTAGAAGCCAGGGATGCTAGTCAACATTCCATAACGCACAGATCCCTGCCCCAAAGAGTCATCTGGCCCCAAGTGTCAGTGGTACTCACAGTAGGAAGCTTTGCTGTAGAGTACATTTTTTTTGAGTTGTGAGATGGGGAGCTTATGCTTTTTGCCTCTGACTAACCAATTGACCAAACACCCTTAAGGTCACTACCTTAAGCTGGAGATGTTTCTTTCTTGGATGGTAGAGAAGATCCTACTGCCTGTTTATTAAGATATGATTTTTAAAAATTTACTTTGATTGTTTTACAGATTCTTAGACTCTGTGTGTAAAGATATACTGTCTTCCTGGTTCATCATGGCGTCAACCTCAAGGTAGGAGTGCTGTTTGATAAAATGCTTCATGGATATATTCACTCTACTATGTTTTTGAAAGGCCAACTCTATGACAAGATTAGCCCTTAGTCCTGCTAGCCTTTGTAAAAGGTTGGTGTTCAGAAAGCATCATAGAGGAAGGGAAAGAAGAAAGATGATACAAGAACAGAGAAAGACTAGGACAGACAGGGGACTGTGTGTAGTATGGGTGTGGTCATGTAGCACCAGCACTTAACATAAAAACATGACTTCACTTTCTTTGTCTTTCAAGAATAGGACACCAGACAGTTGCCTGTGGGACACCAGAATCTTTGTAGGCCTTCCCATTCCAGGATTCAGCAAGCCACGTGTAGGCCAAGGTCTGCCCCTGCAAAGAGGGTGAAACTGGGGCAGGGAGGCATGAAGATAGCTGCTGTCCCCTGAGGACCCAGCTCCATCTAGGGCTTACAGGCAGGACTTTGGGTCTCTTCTTTCTCTAAGTTGGCCTCTCTTGGTGTCCTGGGCAGATTTCAGATCGGTGACCTGGTTTCCTAGAGGTTAGTGTGAGGGCTGGGGGTGTCATTAAACCAGAAAGTGAGGTTGGGGTGAGTCTCTAATGCAACCTAAATTCCACAGTCCATGGGAAAGCCTGCCCTGAAGTAGTCTCTGTAGTTCACTCTTACTTTCTTTTGGGTAGAGGGTCCTCATATTGAGTTAGGGGCCTGGAGAGGGAACAGGACAGCAAATGAGCATCTCTGCCTGACTTTCATTCCCATAGCCAAAGCAATATTTTGACAGCCTAGATCTGACTCTGTACTGCACTGATCTGTCATCCCTGGGGTTTTCTATGACAGCTGAGCACCACTGGATGTTCTGGACAGGCCTCTGAAGTCCTGTGGTGTTCTGCTTCCCTCCACCTCCACTCTGCTCTGCTATCCTCCTTGCAGCCTTGTCATTCTGCAGATATTGAGTCCCTTCTGCTTCAGAGCCTTGAGTCTATATTGTGTCGTCCTGGGACATCCTGTCCCCATCTATCTGAATGGCTCACTGCCTGACGTCATTCAGACCCCTGCCTGTCTGTTGTGCTCAGATTCACGGGTGGTCGGAGACACAGAGAATAGGCTTGCAATTGGAATAGTATAGAGACAAAGATGACTACCACCTTAAGATGGTAGTCAGAGATGGCTTGTGCCATATTAGTAAACTTCTTTATTCCTTGCTGGTTTAAATGACCAGCTCTGCACGTACACACTGTCAATTAATAATCCTTCCATTACTTTAGTGACATATAGTAAAAAACAAATTACCCTTTACTTAGTGCCTGCTAGTCTACTGATCACAACAATACTCATTCTTTCACATCATCCATTATACTAAAAATACCAATCAAGGAAAAACATGTTGTTGACTTTCTGGTCTGATTCTTGATAGGTAGGGAAACTCCTTCAGGGGGAAAGGGCTGATTAATCACCCACTCTACAAGGCCGGAAGCCATCTGGAGGCTGTAACTTGAAGTCTTCTAAAACCACAACCTAGAGGTTCTGAAAGTATACCGATGACTCACCTATGCACTAGCTCCCCTGGCCCTGCTCAGCACAGTGGAATGTCACATTCCTCCAGCTAGAACAAAGGCCATAGTGGGAGTTCTACCTCAGAGCCTCCTAGATTGTAGAAAAACATGACTTTTATTCCTGCTCACTCTCAGAGGCAAAAAGGCACAAGAATATAGGCTTTCCGCCTATACCTGTCTTCCTCAGCCTTCCTTCACCATCCTGTCCAAAGTAGCACCTGAGCTATACCCCTTTGTTACATTCTCAGTCCCTTATTCAAGCTGGCATTCATTGTTACCTGGCTATCCCACGTAGCTACTTGTTTGTTGACCTATCATCTGTCTTCTCTAATTAGAACTAAAGTGTTCTGAAGGTTGAGAGTGAAGTTTGCCACTGCCAGCCCCTGGGCAGGACCTGTTTACTATTGGCATTCATTAAATACAAGCATAGATGGTCCCTGACTTTCC